CCCCCACTGCCCGAGGCCAGCCCGAGGGCTCGGCCCTTGCCAAGGGAAGCCTGGGATACAACACCGCCTCAACACATCGCCTAAGCTCGCTTCCAACCGGTGGCTTTTTGTCAGGGCACATGTAAATGATCAACACGTGCAAATGAAATAAAGTACTGCAAAGGGAGTGCAATCGATAATGAAAAAATCAAACTAGATTATCGTCCGAGGACTGGAGTCTCCCCGATGCTGACGCTTCCATATGCTCAAATCAATCCCGCCAGAGCAGGAGGCGCTCAGGATCTGGCGAGAGCGGGTCCTGAGTTAGCACCAAGCGCTGACCGTCTGCCAGAGGGCAAACGGCACGCGTATCGGTAGGGTTGGGACTGCAACCTCCCAGATGCAGCGGCCACACGTCACCGGCGGGGTGCTGGGGAAGAAGGCATGTAAGGGGACGGGATGCGTCTCTCCTCGTGTCAGAGACGCGCACCGCAGCCAACTGCCTCCGAGTTAGCGCTCCCGCCGCCTCCGCCGCCCGAGGCAGCACCGCGGTGAAACTCACGCCAGCCCCGTGGGGACATCTGCTTTGAGAGATGAACAACTTCTCAGAAACACGGTATTAGAACAATCTCCTGACAGAAACAGTACCTAGGAGACCAGCTCAGCTGTCGGCACACAGATCGGAAGCATCTCAAGTCAGGGCAAGCGAATTCCGCTGTTGGCATAGTCAGAAATGCCCCCAAACAGAAAACCCAGGGCTAGAAGATTTCAGTGGCAGCAGAATTCCCACCGACGTTGGTCTCACCGTTATCTTGATTTCTGTTAAGAATATTCAGCAGAGCTGCTAGCTAACTCGCTCAGGTAGTGTTCCAACAGGCTCCTGCTGCTGCGCTAAGACAAAAGGACGTGTGTTGAATAGCAGGACAGCGTGGTATTACACGACCTGTTCAGCAAAAGAAAGAACCCCACCAAAGCTGTGAGACAAGATCCATCTGCGAAAAGCTAGAAAATGAAGTGATTTCTGCATTATGGTCTAATAGCAGGAATAGGCTCAGTAATTATCCCACTTGCGGTTAGCATACTAAAAAGTGAATTTTAAATACCTTTTATTACTGGGGACAAACGTAATGCCTCATCATTAGTGCCGGCTAATATTTTCAGTGCACTCTCCAGCATGGAAATAAAAAGCCAATCTATATTTATAGTGTCACAATGTCCACAGGACGTTAACCTCCGCTTTCCAGCCTCAGCCACACCTCTAAATGTGCTGGTCACAACCTGCATTTGAAGGGCGATCTCCCCTTCAGCTGGCAGGAAAGAGGTATCAGTAGGAAGATTTTATGCAACAGGCTGTTTTCCTCTGAGCTGTAAGTGTCAAGCAGAGAAACGGGAACCGAGAAAGTTCTTTGTCCAACGAGAGACATAAGGCCAGTGTTCCCTTCCCAGACACGCTGCAGACATTTGTATTATTTTGACAATGATTCAAAGCTTTTACATGGAAATTTCGCCCTTCCATACACGTGATAACCCCACCTACTCCACCTGAGCCAGGGCAGGAATCAGCTTTGCGTTCCTTTTTCCCGCCAAGGCAGCGAGGAGAGACCAAGAACGGAGCAAGAAAGGGAGAACAGAAGCCCCCGCTTCTGGCTCCCTGCCGCGGAAAGAGGCAGAGGTACGAAGGGCCAAGGAAGACTTCTTTCTGCTAAAGCCATGAGGGACAGCAGTAACGTAGGAGGTTCTGGCACTGAAGGAATTCAAGTCTGTCTCACCACAGCCACGCTGGGAAGCCGCAGTATGGCAGTGGAGGCGCGTCCATCGGCTCTCAAGACGTGTCAGGCCGCAGGCCCTAGCGAGGCTGTACAGTAGGATTTACGTCGCTCCATGGCAGTACTTGGCCCACGGGCTCACCAACACAGCACCCACTCCTTTCTTTAGTAGCCCATGTTTCATTTTCTCAATGTAAAATAGAAGATAGACCCCTGTAATACCAACAGAGGCCTATTTTCTTTTAAACCACCCTATCCTCGAAAGATCAGAGGTTCAAACTGCTCACGCCTCGTGACTACAAAAGCAAACAGAACTGCCTGAGCAGCGTGGCATCTGCTTCTCAAACATCACCATTAGCTGAATCATCAGTTTACTGAAAACGACCTGCGTTGCCAAAGTACTGGCATTTCAGTGCTAATTAGTTAAAGTAAACATTTACACCCATGAAGCTGAGAGCTAGACTAATACACGTATGGCTCGGTCCCACAGCACACGGTCACAGCTTTGCTCCTCCTCTGTCCCACCCAGGAGGAGAGGTCCCGGTGCCAGAGGACCACTGACTGAGGTGCTGTGGTACTTCTGCCCTGAACTGCTCAAGTGCCAAGCTCAGGCACGCTGTGTGGCCACCAGCCTTTCGGAAAGGCCCCCTCCCATCCCAAGACTAACCCAGTCACCAGTACCAGTGCTGGCAGTGAGGCAATACTGCCCTAAGAAGGTTCTTCTCTCTGCAAAACTACCACTACTTTGGAGGGGATTCAGCAGTCCTGGTGCACCCAAACGCCTGCCAAAACACGCCAGAAGTTCAGCTGGGTTACGAGCGCATACTCCCGGCCCACAACCAGCGCCAAAATTCTAACAGACAAAATTTGGCTTTTGACAAAGGTACGCACAAGCGCACAGCTGTCAGCCTGCGGGGCTGCCTGCTCTCAGGCATCTGCAACGTAAATTACTCCTGACTGATCATCTCACTTTTAAATAACAACATCAATTAAGCTCAATCAATTGTACCTATGGAACTCCATAGGTATCCCACAAAAACCACAGCACTGTGGCACAGTAGAAAGCATAGAGCAGATCTATAAACCTTCTGGAGAGCAAGCCTGACTTCCTAAATTTACTTAACCAAACAGAAAAGCCCTTTTTAATAATAATTTTAAAAAGCCATTTTGCTTAAAAGATAAACCAACATGTTTCCATACGCACTGCTGATCGCTGCCAGATGTGAAGCATACACAGTTCGCTTCAACTCCCCAGCGTCATCCAAGCAGGCTTATTCCTTTTGGTTTATGCTCTTCAAATGCAGAGGCTTTCCTGCAGATAACCAGAGTGTTTTTTCCTAGAAAATGTAAACAAATCTTGTGCGCTCTACTATCCCAGCTAAGCTTTCAGTGTAAGTTTCTGGCAGGATTAAAAACAAAACAAAACAAAACAAAGCCTTATCTTTACGTTCTAAAAAATACACATGTTATTTAAAAAGCATTAGAAGTCACTTGATCTTCAAACCCATCTGAAAAGTCACTCTCAGAGAGACAACCAGTGACTATGCTGGTTATGCCGTACCTTAAGCACAAACAAAACAAGTAACTGTATGCTTGACCCGGAAAGCTGAAGTTAATGCACTCATGACAAAACTGCATACAAATAAATCCCTGCATAGGAAATAGAAGCTCATTTGCAGAAAAGTTTTTTAAGTTTTTCAGTGCGTACTTATGGGCTCATGCTAAGTCCAACCAGAATCAGATGAAACGAGATCTTTTCACATCTCACAGGATAAACGCCCTTATTTCCCTACTTTCTACAAACTCTTCTCAAACAAAGGAAACGTAAGAAAAAATAAAACAAAAAAAGTCAAGTGGTCCTCACTGTTACATGAGGTTAACATCCCAGACCACCAGCCTGGCAGGATATTAACAGTGGAGAGTTTGGTCAAGCTGTTTCTTTCCTTTGCACTGCTTCACCAGGGCGATTTTCCTGCACAATCCAGCGGCGCCCTCCTGGACCGCCCGTCACAGCTGTTGATTGGTGAAGAAGGCTTTTGTCTGGTGGCAGACGGGATTTGTGCAGAGCGGACAGCAGAGGGTTAACTGCCTCGAGCAGACTTCATTCGACTGGATATGAGAACAGACCAAGTCTGCCAGAGCCTGAAAGACAGTTAATTAAAAATCAGGAGCGAGCAAACCTATCTGCATAAAACAAAACAATGCTTTAACACACCGAGGAGTGAGATTGCCAAACTGTGCGTCCGTCAGGCTACGCTTTTTAAGCACTCCCCTCCTTTACTTCAGGGGAAAATGCTTTAAAACTGCAGTGGCGTAATATCTTAAGAGAAGTATTTCATTAAAAGATTACTACAAATGAATACAAAACTGGTTTTCTTTTTTGTTAAACCAAACTTCTGAACTTCTTTCTTTAAAACAACCAAACAAAACCATCACAAACTCTGCTGAAAGAAAACACTTTGTGGTTTACAGGTTAAGTACAGGGGTTTCCATTTTTGCTCTTAAACTCAAAATACTTTAAAACCACAGGACGACTTCCATGATCTCGTAGGAAACACGCAACGGCAAACTTTTACAACTATTGCAACAACGAAGATACCTTGGAGAACAGTGGATTTCCGTTAAGAGACTCCGCTCTTCTGAGATTTTCAACTCCACACTGGATCAGAAATAAGGAGGAAAGCAGTTAGGGCTGCTAGATCCTTCACTGGTTAGCCTTCCAAATCTTCCTTCCTACTTCATTCAGAAGTTGCCCCAAAATGATGGAATTAAATGCAGTACCATGTTTTTCAATACAGCAAAAATAACTACGATGCAAAATTTCACTTTGCTGCCAAAAAACAATTATTCTTTTTCACTAAGGGTAGTAGTGGCTTAAAGAGTTAAATCTAGAAAGACAAATTCCCACCTGTTTTGTGTTGCTAAAGATAAATTTGAGTTAAGCCAGTTCAGATTAATTTTCAGTTTACAGAAAAATAAAATTTGCCCCAAATCATATTGCAAGAAGCAACTATAATGCAAATTCCAAAACAGAAAAAGTAATTTCAGAGCACCACTATCCAAACAGGTATAAAACCAATAAAACATTCACCTCATTCGCTAGAACCTGGGCATACTCAATGTCCAGCTCATAAAGCGTTTCAATGTGGTCACTTGTAAATGCTATTGGGACCAACAGCATGTTCTTCTTTCCTCTTTGGCACAGTCCTTTAATGGCCTCATCTGTCTGTGGACCGAGCCAAGGCATTGGTCCAACCTGTAAGAAAATGGGGAGGGAAATAAAGAAAATAAAACCTCATTGAATCACTCTTACAAAGAACACCCATGTTTTCTTAAGCAGGACAACACAGATCAGATTGTGTTTAAGATGGAGCCAGTTACTTGTCTTTCCCTGCTTTTGATAGTACCTCTTGCTTTCTCCATTAGATTTTCCATGAAGACATACTGTCGCATCATTCAAAACCCAAATAAACAGAACCTGGGCTGGCCTAAATAAGACTCTCATTAAAATAAATGAAAATTTAAATAAAGGTGCACTGTTTTCAGCTCAATGAAACCCTGACCACCACTGCACTGGGTTTACCTGCCTTGTAAAGCAGTTACCGTTCTGTAGCAAACTGTCCTTACCCCTTTACGATCCGTGAAGTATTTGGCGCCAACGTACCATAATATGAAACTTCAAGAACAAGACAACAATGGCGTGATAGGTGTAATGCCCTCGAGACATAAGGTTACTTGTACTATGTAATTCTGGTAAAACTTAAGTTCCTTCCTATTTGCAGTAGCAATAATAAGTACAAAGTAATGCAAGCAGTCTTCAACAAGGATAATGAATCCTGTTTGGATTAGGCTCGTATTATTATTATTAAAAATGCCTGTATCACAGTGATGACTTCAGAAAAATTGCTCAGAGATCCTCAAAAAGCAACACCTTAAAAATCCAGCGAGTGCTCGATTCTTCCTTCTGACAGAGAAGGCCAAATGACAAACTAGATCTCATGAGATCACAGGCTTTCTAACACACACATCAAAAGTCTACTTTCAAAGGATGCTACATACAAAAAAGGCAAGAAACTGTGATTAGAGTATCTGGAAAGACTGAATTTGAGTAACAGATGGGGGGTTCTGTTCTAGCAGAAGTACTTGCTGAAAATGGGGAAAAGGCACTGAGGTTATGACCTTCTTAAGCTGGAAGATGACAAACTCCATCACCTGAAGAGCTTTACAGTGGCAGGTGGCTTGCAGCTTCCCTTGGCACATACCTTGGACTGCCACACGAGCCTGTAAGGGTTGGAGTAGTTCAGCTTCTCCATGACTCTCTGGACAGTAGCTCCCACTTCTTGAGGATACGGATCACCACGGTTCACTACCTTCAACACAAAAACACCACACCTTTTTCTTCCAGTGAACACACTTGGGCAAAGACCACCTAAAGACTGGGAAAGGCGAGCACGCTGCGCGTGATGTGGCTGCGCCCAGGGCGGGCCCTATCAAGTGCCTGGCTCATCCAAAACAGGGAAGAAAAACTGCGTTCTTGCCCAGCAAAACCTATGGTGAAGCTTCTTTACCAGAGCATCTACTCCCCCTCCTTCACACACTAAAAGATAAATTCTTCTTTCATCGTATATAGATATGGTTAGATTTTGGTAACAGCACTGCATTTTTGAAAAATGATCCAAAAGCGATTTCACTGCAGTTCCTGGTTGCTAACAGAGGATCAAGTCATTTATTGCAAGCTTGCGAAGATTTCAGTTTCTTTCCTTCAGGGAAAGTATTATTACTGCTTTGCAGAGGTGAGAAAATAAACAGATTTTCCCCTCGCTAACTCACCTTCGTATTTCTCTCTTGTATTTGCCTGGCACTTGCACAGCTGTGGCCCTACCCTGCGGGCGGGCGAGCCACATACCCTTCCATTCAGCCCAGCCAGGGTGACTCTGGTCTAACAATGACAGAAATGACCCGACGTAACTCACAGACATGGGCAGCGAGTGAGCCGAGAAGAGGATGACGACATCTTTCCTTTTGTCAGGTGGAAACAGGTTCAGTTCCTTCTGTATGTGATCGGTGAAGCACTGTTCAGACAAAAAAAAGCAAAGATGTGAATCAGAAACAGAGAGGCATTATGGGATCTCAAACAACCCGAGACACACAGCTTCGGTATTCCAGGTTGCCATAAGAACTTCAAAATTCCTTTCTGTATGTGTGAGACAATAGCAAGAGACAGCATGTATTACATACTGTTAGGTACACAGTATCACACAGTGCCCAGTCCCAACACAGCAAAGGCCCGTGTGAACTTCTGATCATCCCAGTGGTTTTAAGATGCTGGTAACAAACTGACAGAACATAACCCATTCAACCCAACTCTCCTCTACCGCCTCCGAAGATCAGTTCCCAGGCTGTGGAGGGCACACGTGTGCAGCTGCTAGGGCAAGGGAGAGAGAAATGGTGACCGGTCAGAGCACAACCACCCCCCCTCAGCAGCCCCATTACACTAGGACTAAGTTAGAGTACATACACCGGGCATCGGGGGAGAGCCTGCTCTGCGGAAGGTGTTCCCCAATGGCCTGGTGAGGCAAGTTTGGGATAACTGCATTCAGCCATATTCGGAGATCTCCACCTCGAGCTCAGCTGAACATGCGAGAGATGGACACCTCTGTCCATCAACACCTCGAGACATAAGGTTACTTGTACTATGTAATTCTGGTAAAACTTAAGTTCCTTCCTATTTGCAGTAGCAATAATAAGTACAAAGTAATGCAAGCAGTCTTCAACAAGGATAATGAATCCTGTTTGGATTAGGCTCGTATTATTATTATTAAAAATGCCTGTATCACAGTGATGACTTCAGAAAAATTGCTCAGAGATCCTCAAAAAGCAACACCTTAAAAATCCAGCGAGTGCTCGATTCTTCCTTCTGACAGAGAAGGCCAAATGACAAACTAGATCTCATGAGATCACAGGCTTTCTAACACACACATCAAAAGTCTACTTTCAAAGGATGCTACATACAAAAAAGGCAAGAAACTGTGATTAGAGTATCTGGAAAGACTGAATTTGAGTAACAGATGGGGGGTTCTGTTCTAGCAGAAGTACTTGCTGAAAATGGGGAAAAGGCACTGAGGTTATGACCTTCTTAAGCTGGAAGATGACAAACTCCATCACCTGAAGAGCTTTACAGTGGCAGGTGGCTTGCAGCTTCCCTTGGCACATACCTTGGACTGCCACACGAGCCTGTAAGGGTTGGAGTAGTTCAGCTTCTCCATGACTCTCTGGACAGTAGCTCCCACTTCTTGAGGATACGGATCACCACGGTTCACTACCTTCAACACAAAAACACCACACCTTTTTCTTCCAGTGAACACACTTGGGCAAAGACCACCTAAAGACTGGGAAAGGCGAGCACGCTGCGCGTGATGTGGCTGCGCCCAGGGCGGGCCCTATCAAGTGCCTGGCTCATCCAAAACAGGGAAGAAAAACTGCGTTCTTGCCCAGCAAAACCTATGGTGAAGCTTCTTTACCAGAGCATCTACTCCCCCTCCTTCACACACTAAAAGATAAATTATTCTTTCATCGTATATAGATATGGTTAGATTTTGGTAACAGCACTGCATTTTTGAAAAATGATCCAAAAGCGATTTCACTGCAGTTCCTGGTTGCTAACAGAGGATCAAGTCATTTATTGCAAGCTTGCAAAGATTTCAGTTTCTTTCCTTCAGGGAAAGTATTATTACTGCTTTGCAGAGGTGAGAAAATAAACAGATTTTCCCCTCGCTAACTCACCTTCGTATTTCTCTCTTGTATTTGCCTGGCACTTGCACAGCTGTGGCCCTACCCTGCGGGCGGGCGAGCCACATACCCTTCCATTCAGCCCAGCCAGGGTGACTCTGGTCTAACAATGACAGAAATGACCCGACGTAACTCACAGACATGGGCAGCGAGTGAGCCGAGAAGAGGATGACGACATCTTTCCTTTTGTCAGGTGGAAACAGGTTCAGTTCCTTCTGTATGTGATCGGTGAAGCACTGTTCAGACAAAAAAAAGCAAAGATGTGAATCAGAAACAGAGAGGCATTATGGGATCTCAAACAACCCGAGACACACAGCTTCGGTATTCCAGGTTGCCATAAGAACTTCAAAATTCCTTTCTGTATGTGTGAGACAATAGCAAGAGACAGCATGTATTACATACTGTTAGGTACCCAGTACCACAAGAGACAGCATGTATTACATACTGTTAGGTACACAGTATCACACAGTGCCCAGTCCCAACACAGCAAAGGCCCGTGTGAACTTCTGATCATCCCAGTGGTTTTAAGATGCTGGTAACAAACTGACAGAACATAACCCATTCAACCCAACTCTCCTCTACCGCCTCCGAAGATCAGTTCCCAGGCTGTGGAGGGCACACGTGTGCAGCTGCTAGGGCAAGGGAGAGAGAAATGGTGACCGGTCAGAGCACAACCACCCCGCCTCAGCAGCCCCATTACACTAGGACTAAGTTAGAGTACATACACCGGGCATCGGGGGAGAGCCTGCTCTGCGGAAGGTGTTCCCCAATGGCCTGGTGAGGCAAGTTTGGGATAACTGCATTCAGCCATATTCGGAGATCTCCACCTCGAGCTCAGCTGAACATGCGAGAGACGGACACCTCTGTCCATCAACACCTGAAATGTTCTTAGTACTACACAAAAAAGCAGGGCAACACCTCTGACCCTTTGCCCCCACTGCCAGCGTCCGAACCGAGAGCCCTACCGCTGCATGCACGCAGCTAGGCTGAGGGAGCATAGGGAGGGGAAAGCTGCCGCCAGCACTGCCGGCGTGCGGTGCTGCAGGAGCGTGGAACAGCTCTGACTGCATGGCCTTCTCTCTTAGATATTTTACAGTGAAAAACAGATCAGAAATGTAAAAAAAAATAAAAATAATAATTTTAATTTCAACTTTGCAATCGGGGCTGAGCCAGCCCTTTCGATTACAGCCTCCCTAGACTTAAGGAAATGCACATTGGTAAAAAAAAAAAAAAAAAGCGGGCGTTTGTATGTACTCTGTCTACTGGGAACCATTTTCAGGTTTCCTGAAGACACGAAAGGTTCCTAAACTCTGCTGAGGTGTTTCACTGACGACATGGAGAGTGCACAGTAACAATGGCACGTCCCAGGACAGGATCACACCGGGCTCATCAGGGGAACGTCACGCAGCGTGGGCAGTTCCACCTTGCCTTCCTTCACTCATTTTTATCGTCTGTTCAGCACACCACAAAAATTGCAAAACCCAAACTAGAGGAGAAGCTCCCCAACAAAGATAAAAATGCCATTTTCTCTGAAAAGAAAGGAGCAAGAAGGCTTCCCTTAACTGCTCCTGCCACAGCCAGGCTGTGCTTAGAACCACCTCTTTGCTGATGGATGAGAATCTGACAAGCCGACATGATCTGTATGTCTGTTGACCACAGAGCTGCTCTGAGCAGGAATTTGGACTAAGGACCTCCAGAGGTCCCTTCCAGCCAACACTGTTAAGTTAACATGACTGTGTTTTTAAAACAAGATGTGCACGGTGGTCACTTTCACACATTACCAGGCCAAAACATCTGGCATGAAATAACCATCCTCCTGTAATTTCATACACAGTAGACAAGAGACATTTCATTACCATAACTAAAATGTACCCTCAAATTGAAGCGTTCCTTTTATTCTTCTCAAGTATGGTTTTTTTTTTTTTTTAAGAACAGATATAAACACAGCCTAAATCAGCATGTAGGTTCATTCTTTTAATACGTACTATAGCTAAAAATCTTGCAAGGTTTTTTAGAAGCTAAGATGTGATCTAAGTGAAGTGTTTCCTCAGAACGTTTCTGTTGCTTAACGTTATACCATGGTTTTACTGGTAGCAAATATTTCTAAAAAGGAAACTCTATAATAAACATCTGCATTTACTTAATTCTTTGTTGTTTTAAAGTCAGCTGGCAATGCAATGATACCAAGTTTCTCCTACTATCTAGGAAAGCCCCAGGGAATGCCAGTTTGATAACGCATCAGACCTGCTCAGTTCACACCTCTCATTCTGGCTGCTAATTTCAAAGGCGCTCATACAAATCCATACCTGAATAAGAAGGGGATGTGTGGGCCATCGGTCAATTATACTCCACTTCATCTTTGGCTTCTCCCCTTTTTTATTATAGTAGCGATAAATGGCATTTAAACTGCTTCCTGAAATGCAGAGAATTAAGAATGTAAGTTCAGCCAAGGCATTAGCAACTTGTCAGATGAAAACAGTTTTGTAGCAAGGTACTACAATATTTTAAAATGCAACCATAAATCAGAACTTGGAGCCTCAAATGGGAACAATTATATCAAAGTTCATACAAGGTACCAGCCAAGAACAATTTGCTAAACCATTCTTAACTGAGGAACAATTATTGCTCTAGTTTCCACGAAGAAAGCTTTCTCAGTCGTGTTCCTGAGCTTTCAGTTTATGTTACCTCACAATAACAACGCCAACACAAAGCTATCCCGAGTTAAGAAGTTTCTACCTAAAATTCGGAATTATAGCAAATACAGAGGACCTCGAGTCGGCAGCGAAGCCAAGAGGAAGGGGCACTTTGAGGAAGACGGGACAGCCTGCGCTGAGGCTCCGCAGGCTCCCTCACGGCTCGCGGACACGTGCCTACGCTCGCCTCTGCCTGCGCTCCGCTCCCGCCCGGCTGCTCACCTGTGGTCGAACAACTGTACTGTGGGTACTGCGTGAAAGCGATAGCCCGTTCAATGCCGTCTTTCTCCATCTCTTCAATCGCTTCTTCTGTCAGAGGATGGACATACCGGAAGCCAATGTAGTATTTGTGAGGCGCTGCCAGCCAAAGCACAGGAAAAATAATTACAGAAAAACCCCAAGAACTCTCAACGACATGTCATTAATAAGCACAAAGTACAGAACCAGGCAGACTGAAACTGTTGAAATAAACTTGTTGATAATTTTCTGGCTGCTTTTCTAAACCATTGTCATATAAACACATTGTTCTTTGGCCCGGTATTTTTCTGGTAACTCACTTTGCTGTTACTAGAATTTAAAAGCGATTTATATTATTGTTTGCTTCTGCAGGAAGCATCGCTCTTCTGCTTTCACTTAGCTTAGCTAAGGCATGGTTTCCAGACTGTACAGAGCTCTGAGGTTTTACTGGGCAAGTTCTGATTTAGAGGATGTAGTGATAAAAAAGCATCACTACGAGATGCTAAATGAACACTACTACGCCCTAACACAGACCACAGTTACAGACCTCCTACCGGCTTCCTAACAGCTCAGCTCGCTTAGTGATGTCAGAAGTCAGGTGTTTTAAACACACCAACGTAATTAAAATGGAAAGATAAGGCTTTCTTCAGTCTGCCATACAAAAGGAAACACATTGCTTAAGCAGTTTGCACATTCCAGGAAATTGTATTTACCTAAAATTTCAAATAAAATTGGGCTGCCATTTTTTTGTGCCAGCACCAAGATCTTCTGCTCTACAGGGATCCACGTCACAGAAATGTTCACGCCTTTAAGCACGTTATTTTGGAGGCAATATTACTCTCTCCAAGGACAGTATTTTAGGTTTTCCCCTGTTTCACCTCTAATCTTTGGGGTGTTGGCTTCAAGGTTTGGGGAGTACGGTTTGGTTAGGGAGAGGGAGGGAGGGCAGGTTTCTTGTTTTATTTTGTTTCTTTTAAGTAGAGGACAGAAGTTCTTAAGAGAACAAAAGCAAAGTTTCTTTTTCAGGGTTTCCAGGTCATTAGCTCTGAAATAACGTTTAACAGGTTTCTGAAAGAAGCAGATGTCCTGTGCTTGGTCTCCACTCCATACATTTATACAGGATTCAGAAAACAGGTTTAGTCAGCCCCAGTTCTCTGCAGGAGGCAAGAGAGCTCCCAGCTGGGAGCAGTACCAAATAATGACCCAACTTCAGGAGCCCCGGGAGCCAGTAACCTCATTAACATTTTAAAAAGGCATTAAAACCAAAAGTCTCACTAACCACAGCAAAGACGGGTAGGAGTTTAACCTGGGAAGGGACACACTGGGGAAAAAACATGGCCAGCTTGGAAACTTCCTGCAATACTCTCGCAGCATTAGGTTTTGTCCTGGATCACAGGCAGCAAAGGACAGATTTCCGTGTCTGTATACATACTGCTTTTGTTGCTACTACTGGATATGGAGTGACATCTCCTTCCGCAAAGAGCTGCCGATCTAAAACAATGTGGCTCCCTCATCCGGTGAGCTTTCCTTCTGCTGACAAGGGAATCTCAGCTAAAATACAGCTTGTAAGAAATACTAAGAACCGTTATAATTAAAAACAATAAAAAAGCAAGCTGTACCTTCTTAAAATATAATTACCATTGCAAGACATTAGCCTATTTGATGCCAGCACTAAAAATCCCCCAACAATAGAAATGGATTTTCCTATCACCATGTTTGTGTGATTTATTCTTACAGACTGCTGAGCCTGCCCAACCCCACTCATTCAGAAGGAAGAACTCTTGTTTGTTTTCAGACAGCTGCCTGTAACAATAAAGCTTCATTTTAAAATCATGTTGTTCCCAGATGACATGGGTGAGTCTCTTTATTTACTACTTTATATTAAATCCCATTGCTGAAGTGTAACATGCCAAACGTTTACAAGTCAGTAAATCAGTGGATTGATTAATTTACGCAGGGGGGACCTTCACAGGTGGTTATTGATGCTGTCCAACATGAGCTCTTCACCAACTGCAATTACTCAGCAACTATAATCTCCGCACCCCAAAAGTCCAGGTCAAGGTAAAACAAGTACACAAAGTGTTTCTTCTTTGCCCTGCATTTGAAGTCTTACCACCACAACTTGCGAGTTACTCATTAACAGGGCTTGGTGCTCCCAAAGTGCTACCTGTGAGCACACGGTATTCCGAAACGCACAGCTCAGTCTGGAAGCACATCCAACTGTTTCAAGCTATTCTGAAGCAACACAGTACCCGGTATCGCTGCAAGGTTACTCAAAATGCTTAAGGAAATGGCTAGCACTCAGTTCAACTGTTAGCAATGGTCAGCACGTTCAGTTTTTAGAACTGCAGCTACTGTTAGGTGAAAAATGAGGTCTCTGAACGACTTATCAGGCGTAAGAAGTGCAGAGAGGTGGGCGTGACTTCACAAAAAGCGGTCACCAGACAAAAGCAAGCGGGAGTGGTGTGCTGAGAAAAGCAGATAAACTTTCTGAGCTTTATCTTCAGAACCTGTTGCAAGCCTGACCCTTCAGGGGCTACCGCTGCTAAAAACACTACTGCCTTGGATGCCGCAGCCCAGCGCAGTTTTGGCTTCAAGCTTCGACTGTACTTGCAGGGACCACAGCTGGAGTTAAGCTAGAGAGTAGCATCTGTGGAAAAAAAGGATCAAACATGACCCGAATAAAGCTGTCAGTGACACATTACACGCTGAACAAATGACATAAATTTGGTTCTAGCCTTCCAAGAGCGTCACTTTTCACCTTCCAGAGCCTTTCACCAACCTTCTACTTCTCGCCCTTTTCTACCCGAGTCTGAAGCAGGTGCCACAAAGAATTACAAAACAGCGACGCATCAAATAACACGCAGGTATGGTCAAACATGGAGGGGGATTCCCTGACACACCAGCACCACATCAGCAAGGTCAGGGAAGCTGAAGGGGGAAGGTGGCTTGCAGCACTGTAAAGCGGCTGAGCTGAAGAGATTGGAGAGCTCTCCTATTTGGCTCCTCTTACTCCAGCAGTTTTTCTATTAAAAGTGTTTAACGTCCTCATTGGAGTGGCAGGATGAGAAGCATTACCTGGAGCTAGCACGTCAGTGAGGAATTCAGCGGGCAGCTTAGCGATCTCGTTAATTCCTTCTACTCACAAAGATAGTCTGCTGCTTCAAGAACAGAAAGCATAATGCAGAGAAATACCTTACCGGAACCCAGGTGACCCCCAGACAGGCCACTTCAGGCAGAACCAACCACCACGTTACGGTTTCTCCTGGCTTTGTCACAGCAGTGGTGATTCACTGACGCAAGCCAGGGGAGATGGCCATCACCCATGAGCTGCTATGTGAATGTGGAAGTTTAATTTCCAGTGCTGCCACTCACGTTTATCAACGCCATGGTTTTAATGTCACATAGCAAGAAACTGTAGCATAAAAGGTACTGTAAGCAAATAATCCATCACCTTCAGCAAGCAGCAGAGGAGAAACAGACTTCCCGTTCACCATAGCTGCTAACGGAGCAGCAATACAAGCTGAAGTCCAATTCAGCGAACAAACAATCTGAAAGCTGTTCAGCTGAACTGGCGCAAGTTCCACCATGCATGCATTTAACCTGGGTGACAGATGACTCCTGGATCAATCTGGTTGCAGGTTTTAGGAGAGAGATTGCACATGGCTGAACCACAGCAAATGAACATGACGCAAATGACCACAGTTGTCTGTGTTTGCACACCTAGCCCACTGCGACTGCATGGTAAAACGTGTTCGCTGAAGCCCTTCGTAAAAGGACATTCACAGAAGCGTCTGCGCCCGTTTCCCACCACACCAGCGCTACCAGGTAGCTTGGCGCAGGGTAATCCATACAAGTTGCAGCTCCTTGCTGCGAGGGAGCAAGGTTCGGAGAGATTCTGTGATCAGGAGAGAGGGGAGGGAGGTTGTATTCACCGTTCAAGTTTTCTTATTATCAGGAAAGAACTGGCAAAGACAGTATCTACTTCCACCCAAGGCAAAGGGTAGGCCTTATCCCCCACCCATGTCCTCGGGTGGGGCTCGCTGCTATCACCCAACCAAGCCCTGCAACGTTCAGCTACAAAACCTTGTCTTTTCTTCCAACCAACCTCCTCTTCAGTCCTGAAATCAGGCCTAACTGGTGTTAGTTCTTTTATCCATTATTAATAGTTACAGATTCAGGCAAAGTTTCAAAAGCTCTGGATATGTCCAAGCTGTAACTGCAGAGGGACATTTCAGAGGAAGGAAAGACACCTGTGGCTCTGGAGAACAGTCACACCCTCAACACCCTCCCATGCAGTCACCCATAGTTATGCCAGCCTGAGCCTAAAGAAAGGCAAATGCAAAAGGCTTTATACCATTGATTTCTGGCCTCAGAGCTGTTCTGTATCAGATGGGCCCTGCACAGCACCCTGGCGAGCTGGCCCTGAACAGGGAAGGGCACATGGAGGAAGCAGCAGGAGCAGGGAACGCTGCACCGTCCTCTGAGCCCGAGCTGCTGGCTGCTGCGAGCGTGCAGCAGCTGAATGATGCCGTCCTGCAGTTAGCTACAAGGAGCAGACACAAGAAGGTGGCCCTGCATTTTACAGCAGGAGATCCCACCCCCCCCTCTGTGAAACTCAATAGCACCAGCGTGCAGAACATGATTAAGCAGGAAACCCTAAACCCTCGATCGGCAGGCGTTTTCCAGCCTGTGTGCGCACACATGCGCAGCCCAAGAGGAGCGTCATTCTGCCGCTCTCGCTCTACCTCTTCATGAAAGGTAAAAGAATTACACAAGATTATGCTGCTGCTGCCAATGGTCACAAATCTCCACCTCGTTTATGCTACGAGAACGCCACTCTGAACACCCTTCTCCTGTGCCTGACTTATTTGTACACACAAAATACATTCCCCTTTCTTATCATCTAAGGCTCAACCACTTGTCTTCAGCGTAGACTTCTTCAAGCTTAGGCAGGGCTTACAGGGCAAGGTATGGCACCTGGCAGTCATACACACCAACGGAGACTTCCATCACCCAGCTTCAGCCATCTGAAAATAAGATGCTTTGCCTATCATAGTCACCTAGATATCTTCCCATAACCCGAGGAGAGAGGTAAGTGTACCTTTGGAGGGTGATGCCCCCATCTTTGATCATGACCTTAGGATGACCTGAATCACTTTCTCTCCAAGCCCTACTCTCTCGCGATGAAAGAGGGAGCAGAGGCCACCAGTTAAGGCCAGATGCCCAACTCCCTGATGGCTGAAGTTACGCAAGATGAAACATGCCAAAGCATCTAAGGGTGGACTTACCCAGGGCTACTTTTGAGCTGCTCACCTTGGGCACAGGCAGAGGTGGTGGCTGGACCCCAGCACATGCCGGACCCAGCCTGAGAGACGGGTAAAGTTCAGTTGTGGGTGCTACACAGTGTTACTGCAGGTTGAATGAGTACTGACAGTACTCTGCAAAATCAACACCTTTCTCCAATGCAGCCACAGAAGCGACCACAGCACAAGAATACATTTGGATGTGTGGGAACCCCATGCTTTTGCATATGCTTAGTTTTTAACGAAGGAGAACTTCTGCAATATCTTTGTTGTGATTTCCTAGCAGGACTGAGAACACTGTTCACGCTCACGATAAAAATGGAGAAACGAAAGCTGCTTTACAAGCGTATACTTTCAACACATGAAGCAAAAGAAACTTTTAGCAAGCACAGAAGAGTAAAGAAGTACCGGTGCGAGGAGACATGCTGTCCAGCAGTTTCACCATGCCTTCTCCCTGCACTGCTGTCCACTTCTTGATCGGTGATCCACCTCCAATCCTGCTGTACTGCTCCTGGATTTTTGGTGTGCGGCGTTTGGCAATGAGTGGTGCTAATTTACTAAAGCATTCAAAAGGTATGCATATTAATATCATGACCCAAATCACCACCTCTTTCCCCAAATCTTCCCGCCGCAGCTGGTTTTCCACGGCAATCTCCCCAAATTATAGCAAACCAGCACTGCATGGCTTGTTTAATGTCACATTCCATCGCCCTTCCCAAACTTCCTAGGTGACAGGAAACCACAATTTGCAATTAAAAGACAACGATTTTGGCAAGCCAATTTCCAGAGCATTATAACACCGTTTCTTGCACTGACTGGTCCCAAGATGAAACAGTCTTAAGAAATGCTGGTATACACAGAAGTTCAATGTTTGAGCCTACAGCTAAGACAACACCACCCAGCACTGACTGTAACACAGGAGTTCAGAGTGTCCCTCACTTTTGAGCTGGAAGTGTCATTAGATCTCTGTCCAGGAAGAGGCGAAGTAAGAAATCATGCACATCATCCAGCCGCTCCGGACCTCCCATGTTTAACATCAAGATTCCTGTTTTAGGTTTCCTATGGAAGCAAGAGATATTTCAAATCCTATTACTACTATAAAACAAGCAGCTTATCCTTCTGCATTTGTCTTTTGCAAAAGCAGCATCCTATTTAGAAGCTCATCCTGCCCATGACAAGCGTGAATAGCCAGAGAACAAGTATTTACATGATCTTTACTTTTTTTAAAAAAGTAATCACTCTGCAATAGAGTTTGACCGGAAATATGCTAAGAAGACTACCTTGTGGCTGAAGGCTGTACGGGAGGTTATAAAACAGAGTCTAAGAAACCATCGCAGCTGAACGCCAGCTGCAGATTCCAACCAGACCAAGCAGCAGCTTCCACAGAAGACAGATGAACTACCCACACCAGTCTTTGTCTTCATTACTTCGGAGACACATCTCATCTCCCGAAGCAGTGAAAGCAGTAAAGAGCCATTCTACGCATAAAATAAGTACAGGGCTGGTTTTATTTTTTTGGGTTTTTTTCCACAATGGGTTTTCTATCCAGGTGTGGGTCCGGCACACTGTTCTAAGGATAACATCCCTCGCAGCACAGCAGAGTGGAGCAGATAGCAGCAATCAGCTTTTACACAAACAGCTGCTGATCACAACTCTCGCCTGAGAGATGGATTTCCCCATTGAATCGTTTCCCCTGCCCAAGGGAGCCCAGTGACCAGGATCTCTTGCCTCCTGCACAGACAGAGCCGAGGATGCTCAGTGAGCTTTGCCCCCTTCTTGTTAAAGCCAAGGTCTTACAAAGGGGCACCGAGAGGAGCCCAGGCCTGCCCCGATGGGTTGGGACCTCCGTTTTCATTCCCTTCCTCCTGGAGTGCCTGTCAGGAGGTTGCTGAATAAAACCCAGGAAGCAGGAACCAGAACATCAAATAATAATTATAACACCCTACTGTTTGTTCTTCTATTGCCTCTGCACTGCCTCAGGCCTTACTGTGGGGGCCACTGCCTCACTGCGTTCTGCAGAGAACAAGGCAGGCAATCCTTGCCCCGCAGAACTGTGAAAACAAGAGGCTCGGTGAATGCAGCCAGCCAGATAAAAGCAGTTACGCATGCACGAAAAGATGAGATCAAGCCCCGCGACTGCCACGTTTTAGTACATAACCAGCTTTGCTCTGCAAGTAAAGCAGCGTGCTGTATCAGAGAGCGACAGCGGGCAACAGCAGCAGGTCACACCCACCCAGACCCCACTGCAGACTTACCGCGCTTCTGGCTGAATTTGAGGTTTTGTGCTTTCTGTCACTGCGGCTGCAGTTGCCTGACCTCTCCATCGTACCGGGACCCTCAGCTGATTCCTGCTTTTTACAACTGGAAGAAAGATAAGAGCACATTGATAACCTCGCACCGGGCTGAGGGGCCTCTTCACCAGATAGGCACTAATCCCCCAACAGCTACATAAACACACTTGGCAGTACTGCGCTGCTGGGCATTTTCTCCCTTAAGCTCCAGGTCCTGGAATCAAAGGAAGCCATGAAATTGCAAGCTCCTGCCTTTCTTTGAACACTGTATACTAACAGCTTTTCAGATACCAGGCAGTAACCTAAAACCAAATAAAAGGCTCACTAATCTTTAAGCTCCCGTCGTCAGTCCAAAATAACTGGTGACCACACAAGAGAAACTACGCAGGGCTGACACGCTACGGAAGTAAGCACGCCAAGCTGCGCAGCTCCTCACGGCACAGGCGTACCTGGGCCAACTCTAGGCAAGCAAAGTGTTTCTGCGCCACCTCTACAGCCTACGTTAGCCATCTGTTAGTTTAGGGTCCCCAGTAAGCTTCGGCAACGTAGGTCAGCACCTGCGAGCCATAAGCACACAGCTCCTCAGTTGGGAACACTGAGCAGCAATTTCAGAATCCATTTACTCAGGGACATGGGCAGCCGCCTTTCTCAGTGCCCAGCTAGGCGACTTCTATTATCCCTGCATTTCAGCATCAGCCAAAAACCAGGATACTTTAGAAGTCTTCCCACATGCTGGTTACAGCCTGCTTTTTCAAAAGCATGCTTTGTTTTCCTCGGGAGCTCATAGTCATTACATGGTATTTTTTAGTGCAACAATAGTGTGAATTGCCAAAGATGAAAAAAAAATTGGTAAATTCTGCATCCCCGGCTCTCCAGCAATCATTTGGCGCGACACTTCTCTGGTCAGACCGCAGGAGTTCCAGCAGCAATTGAGCCCCAACAGCACAGACCTCCTCAGCGGCCGATCCACCCGCTGGGACGAGCATCTTACGGTTCACAGGTCCCTAATAACATCCTGAACAGATGCTGAACGCCCTCAAAACCTGCTGAAATCAATGACAGCGAAAAGCATCTTGCAAATCCAACTGCTTACTCGGGATTAAGAGTGTGCAGCTGTGGATGCAGTGATACGAAGGGCTGCAAGCTAAAGAACTTCAAGCATCGCTGGTGCCTGAAAGACTCTTACCAAACGTTCACGTTCTTCTGCCCGTTCTTAGGTTATTACTTTCTGAAGCGCTGACAGTACGTGTTAATTATATAGAACAATAAAAAGAGAAGTTCCAGTGGCTGTATTGATCCTTCAGCACTGTAAATTAAGTATTGGAAAGCATTTGTTTTACTTAAGGTGAGGTCTGGGCACATTTCTATCTGCACCATAAAGCATGCAGCAGAAGACGTGCGACTGTGGTGGTTTGGCCTTTGCTTTTGCTTTTTTTCTTTATTAAACTGCCTTTACCTTGACCCATGAGTTTTTTGGTTTTTTTCCTTTTCATCTCATTCTCTCCCTGCCTGTCCTGATGAAGAGGGGAGTGATAGAGCAGGGTGGCCCCGGGCGCCCAGCCAAGGTCCAACCACCACAGCGACGATGACGATTCCAGCTTGACAGGACAAGGGTAAAAGCGTTCTTTTCTAAGCTTTAGACATGGCATTATCGTTATCAGCCTCTGGCGCTGAGGCTTTGTCCCCGGTGCGTGCCCCGGCTCCCACGGGCCTCAGGGTAAGCGCACGGGTGCCCCTCGGTAGGTACGTGAAGATGCGCTGCTGGTAACGGGGTAACGCGTTGCATTTACAAGGAATAAGGAAAAGAGCTCCTGCTGAGGGAGCACGCCCAACGGGCTGCACGCCGCAAGAACGGCAACACCGAGGGGTACGGAGACGGTACAGGCGATGCACGCTCGGAGCCGTCCAGAGCCGTGAAGCGACTGTATTTGGTACTCACACCCCCTCACCGCCCCGGGCTTATTTTGAAAAGGCAACCTGGGAATTGTTACACGAGGACGATTTTTCCACTAATGCTTCCTCTAAAAAAAAGAAAGTTCCTCATTTTAAATTGAACTCCTGAGGGGGGGGATCCCAAACAAAGCAATGAAAAACGGAGCCCGACAGCAGCAAACGACAAATTTCTCTCGGGTGACAAAACGCCTCGGTTCATTCAGAGGAAAACTCATCCTCAGCCGGCCCGGCACTACCCACGCGCTCCCAGAATTAAGCCGGACTTTGTTTAAGCTCTCCCCGCAGCGCAATTACCACAGCGCGGCGAGGCGACCCCCGGGGCCGACACAGCCCCGGAGCCCCGCT